TAATCTATACCAAGTTTCCATAGTCTCCAGGGTGTCCACTTCCCTCCACAAAGGTTGTTTTGTATTACCGATCAGCATCCAGACTGGGGCTGATGCAGCAACAATTGACAATAAAGTGTTTATTACAGCTGCAACCAGAGAGTAGAGAGCTCAGCAGATAGAGCGGGGACCTAAATCGATATTCAGCTTCTGTTATCCAGATGGAGGGCACAGGAAGGATTTTAGCTCCGCCTGGATTGCAGCAGTGCTGAAGCTGGAACCCACTCAAGCTGGCAAGGTATACTCTCTCTGGGCATCACAGGCCAGCTCCTCTCACAAACCCAGCGACCTTGGCACTCTGCATGCCTCACCAATTTGTTATGTAGTCAGTTATTCCTGAGGATCACAATGAGAGCAGGGAGGGAGGGCTCCAGCCACACATGAAATGATCTAAAAGTGGCTGTTAAGAGAGAAGACCTCTAAACAAACCTGCCATCAGAAACAGCAGGGCTCAGGCATCAACTGTTTACTCATTCTGGGTCATTTTACTCATTTAGGCCCCAGCCGCCACACGGATGCGTCCTTCCTGCAGCTGCATTATTCACTATCAAAGAACCTTGACGCTTTTAGAAACTATGAAACTAATACCAGAGATGTTGGCAGGAGCTTCTGTGATAAAGCTAAATTTAGCTCGCTGTTGTTTTCATCCAATCACCAGACAAGAACTTCCATTAATCTCAACTCCTGACAGCTGCAAGAGTATTTTGGTCATCAATGCTCGCTGTCATCAGCGCTCTGTTGAACACAGACAAACAATGCTTTTGAAGAATAAATACCAGGCCGATGTTTTTGCAGACTTCCGGAGCTGAATCTGTGGCCAAGTTAGATGGAAGTCCAACTGGAGTATTTACTGTGCTTGAGTCGGTTTTATTACGCTGCGGTTTGAGGGCCCCTGACACCGGGCTATTTTTGTCTGACTTATTGCCGCTTAATTCTCTCTTTATGTTGTGCAACTTCCTCCAAGCCCGTTTTCTTCCTGTGCATGCTGCTGATAGTATCATGGCACCCCTCTACATCATTCATTCACAATAGTAGAATGATTGGCCATTTGCAGGGTTTTATCCACTGATCTGTTTGTATGTCAAGTTAAACAAATTGAGGTCTCTTCGGAGAAATGCATAGAGAGTTAATATTCTGGCCAAGGTTTTTATTTTTGTAAAGCATCTAAATAAAATTAGAGATTTCTTTTATTTCTCTTTAAGTATGGAAGCACATTGTTACCATATTTAAAATGAAAAAGCATTTTCAGAAATGCTTTTTCATTTTAAGAATGTGGCTGCATTGTTTGACTCATAAATGAAATTAGTATCCTGTTTGCATTTTCATTTTCTTCGTTAACACCACTCATCCTTTTACGTGATTAAAATGAAAAAGAAAAAGACATTTGAGATTTATTTTTCAAAAGGTACCCCAGCAAATACATACCAAAATTCAATTTGAAAAGTAAAATTTGAAAATGAAAAATGACGTGCACAGCGCCCCCTACCGAACAAGATGGGTAGCCCGGTCAGCAAGGACCAGAGGAAGAGCAGCTGCTGATGTCAATCTGCTGCGCCCGCCGCTCAGAATGCTTTTTTCATTTTCGAGTTATGGACCGTACTTTTCAGGCAGACCATGAAAACGATGAAAAGCAATGTCCGCTGTGTTTTCTCTTTGATTATGGCATAAAATGTGCAGTCTTAAAGAAGAAAATGCAAATGAAAAAGCATTTCTGGAAATGCTTTTTCCTTTTCAAATTTTACATTTCAAATTGAATATTGATATTGATAATAAATCGCAATCAGGTTTTGTACCTGCTAATGAATACTCCAATTATTTCCATTAACAGTAGGATTGTAGGCATGATGTGTGCGTCAGTGTAGCCGATCAGCTCACAGCACCATGGGCAGCCATGGGTGTTTGTTTAAAGTAGACGCCACAGACTAGCGGAAAGGATAACTTCCTCTATAATGCATCTAAAAATGAAGCA